CTCACGACGCCCCGCGTCGTCGAATGCGTGCGAGGCGAACTCCCCCTAATCGCTAGTGAAAGCATCGCGCATGTACATATGGGGATTAATTACCGGGCGGTATTGGGGTACTTCATTCTTCGGAGAGAAGAGGGCGGAAGAGAGCAAGTGGAGACTTATATGAAGTCGAAACTGGATTCCCGCTGTCTTTGATCCGACATTCAGGAATATTTCCGCCTTCAGTGTCCCCGGATTTTCCACCATCAGGTTTCATACGCGAAGATCGAGAAGAACACGGTTTTCGGTCTGGAGCTCCGGCACGTCGAATCGATGTGAGCCCGACTCCCGCCAGCGCACGACAACGACCTCAAAAGTGTACCAGAAAAAGGAAGTATGCGTATAAGCAAGAAACCATGGTCGAACATTCGACTCTTGGATAGGGCGGGGCGAGCTCCATTCTGCACAATACTTATTCTGATATTCCTAGAAATCGCTGCTCGTGATCCGTGAACGAGGGGTTCAAACCGTAGTCTGAATGAGGAATATGTGTCGCTCAAGACGGCCTAATCGGATTTGGGACGCACTGTGACCGAAACAACTCTGGGGGCAAAGAGCAAATTAGGGACTGGAAGTCTGACTGTGAGATGAGAGGCAGTGGATGCCCCGCTTCGGATTTTTGTCCTCGTTTTTTTCTCATACTCCGCAAAACAACCGTCTATCAGAGAATGTCCAGTCCATGCTGCGGACCTCTCAGATGGGGACTCGGACACCAACTCTAGACATCACTGGCAGCTCGACTCGCCAGCAACAGTGAGTATTCTGATGAGAAGTGCTCAAAATCGACCGCCCAAGGATGGAACAGAATGATAATTCCCACCTCTTCCGCAAGAGGTCCCAGGCACCTCTCTCTAGAACGTCGGTCGAGTAGCGTCCTCGATCGTTGGCAATCCGGTCGACTATTCGAGATAGCTTGGTCTGTTAGGAATTGTAGGCCGTCAGATGTCACAGTATTTCTCCGACATACGCCCAGCGCATCGAGAGGACAAGCGGTCTCCTTCGAGATTCCGGGGACGTTCGACGAGGACCCGAGGAGTTTACGCGCCCGTCGGGCGGCGAGCCAGTCAGTCCATCGATCACTGAGCTGAGTCTCCGTGACATGGATGATTTTCTTCCCAAAGGTTTTCTTCTTCGGTCGATACTTCGAGGGTGCGTCTCCTCTTCCTGCAGCCGATGGCAAAGTATCGTCAGACAAACCGCACTTGGATTGATGCCAATCAGAAAGGCCAACTCAGAAGATCAGCGCAGAGCAACCAAGAGCTTAACGAGATACAGACGCACTCCAATGTGGCCATTCAAAATCCATTCTGGCACGGCGAAACAGGCCCACTCGGCGGAAGTTCTCCATCAGCTTTTTCCTAAGCACGTGTTCGAAGTTGTTCCGTCATAGATCGCAAATGAGAAAAATATTGGGGACCACTTGTTCGCTCCCGGGAAAACGCTTGGGAAGAGGGACCCATGCGATTATTGAATCGTAGCTTCTGGCGGGTTGTGTCCCGTGCAGTAGACAACGGCAAGACATTTTTAATAAAGTGGCAAACCCGCAATTGGGTCAGTGTGGAACCGGCCCCGGATAAAAATGGACTCCCTGTAATTTCTGGTATTCTCTCCGCCAGTAGACGGACAGTGCAGCTCACAGAAGTCACTTGGTCGGCTGTGGGATATTTTTTTCAAAAGAGAATCGGGATCGATAGTCAAGGATGCGGAAAAGAAGCTGAGGATAGGAGATATCTGGGTTTCCCGAAGGAAGGATATGAATTCGGATAAATCGGAAGGAGTGTGCCCCATCTCGTAGAATTCGATCGAGTCCTCGGAAAGTTCCCATATCTTGTTGTTTCAGAAAATTTTGAACAAGTCCCGTAATCGCTGATCTTCTCCCCTTGCAATTGGGGCGGGGGAGCGATTGCAGAATCAGAACAATCAGCGCATTCCCTCCAGAAACGAACACTGAAGATCCATAGCTCCCCATGCCGAAGTTAAGGTCGGGCTAGAGTTCACCTGGGTATCTTATTCTGGATGCGAGCCCGCACGCAAGAAGCCGTTTCGGCGCACGACTTGTATCCTCCGGAATAGCTCCCGTTCCGGACGGATTTCGCTGCGTGATAAGGGGAGGTGGTGGAGTATCGCTCGGGGATAGGAGACCCACCAGGGCTTCTCAACATGATCGAGAATGAATCCGTCCGTGCCAAGCCCGGCCAATGACTGAGACATCATTGAAGCTTGACTGTGAGGCCTACGGATATCCTCACGAACATATCTCACGCCCACCGGAAGAAGCGGGCCGCTTCTGAACGATGTCCATCTAGCCTTCAAGTTGCCTCCATAATGAGGCTCGACTCTCAGAATCTTATGACATATTCTCGCACTCCTACCACAAATCGAGGACTAAGATATGGAATAGTTGTCCAGGAATGTTCTATCGATTTATTCTCGTCCAACGCCGCAGAACACGTATTCAAAGCCGCTTTCACGCCAGTTTTCGAGCAATTTACAGCCTACTCCCATAGTTGTCCGTCATAAAGCCTGCTCCTTGTGACCCACCGAAGATATGGACAACAGACCGCTTCAGTCCTTTGTGGCGACTAGGATTCGAAGAAAATATCCCGGAGCGAGAGGATTTTCTTCTCCAACAGGGAACGGATCTCGGAGCTTCGATGCAAAATAGATTTCACGGAGGATGCTCCCGTGAAACGTCCGTAGTCATTCGGAAGGTAGGTAGCTCAATTCTGGGTGGGGGGCAGGCGTGCTCGTTCACAGCGTTGCTTTTTCTGTGTCCGTGCGTAGTTTTCTTCTCCCACGACAACGAGCTGGCCTCATCGGCTTCTTCTCTTCTCGGTTTCTTCTTGACTACAGCGAGGCTGATGACCTCAGCAACACGTCGAGAAGATTCTTTACTGTTGACTGGGCGCCATTTTCCGTTCCACGTGGAGCGGAGATAGTTTTCGAGACCCGTCTTACGGCGGCCGATCTGCGGAATTCCGGGGAGAAGGTCCGAGAGAGGCATCCAGTCGTATTTTCGGACTGAGAACCGCGGAAGTCCGCATGGGCATCACAGAGGCGCCATGCGCCACTACCGCGACCCTAAGACCGAGAAGGGAAATTCGAGTGAACTCACCGGAACTGGTGCCACCAATCCCTCCGGAATTGAATGGTGTGAGATTTCCTCGCTATGCTTCGCTACCCGAATGTTATCTCCCCCCGAATCTCTGTCACACTGACAGTTTTGGGCTCCACCGAATCATGAGGAATTGATTGGGTAGATCCGCCAGAGCCAAGAACCAGCGTACCCGATTCCTTCTGAACAGTGCTGACAGAATTATTCAGGGTTGATGTACACATAGATCTTATCGCCTTCCGGCTCGCTGCTCGATGCTCGGTGTTTAGCCGCCGAGGAGGCCGAACTGTCAAAATCAGTCCCGAGCTCCGAGTCCGATTCTCCGCCAAGTCTCAGCTGAAATCATAGAAGCAGGAGAAGAAAGAGCGAGCAGGATATCGCCAGGCGCCTCAGCCCGCCCTCACCACAAGGAGTCCAGAAGAATCCCCATACTCTTTGATTTGATCACGAATAAACAATTCTGGCGGGCGGTGCAAACCGGGAATACCGCCCGCCTAATTCTCATAGAATCTCTGATAGCTTTCGCACAAGTTGTGAGCAGATAGAGGCTGCGCAAGAAAAACGCGGTTTCCCGGGTCCCCGCGAGTGGTGAGTGCGCTTCCCGCGGCTACGCATTGGCGTCTTGTCGAGCCAGCGAGCAGCCCCGGTTCTCTGCAGAGGTTGTTGCTGACTGCTTCTGCCTCTGATCCAGTGGTGCCCGATCGGCGGCGGGGCAAAACTTGGCCAGATGAATATTTCCCCTAGGCCACGGGTCCCTGATCTCAGTCGAATCCCGTTTCGGAAACCAACGCTCAGAGCCGCTCCAGGAGAATATGTCACGGTATCCCGGTCGTGACTCGACTCAGCCGGCTGGACATCGGGGGTTCAACCTGCGGACCCCGAAGTTCTGAATTTTGAAGTGAGTAATGCTGAGAACCGAGCAGTGAGGTCAAAAATCACAATTCATGACCTAGTGGAGTTCTCCCGGAGACCGAAACTTCGGCCGTGAGACAGAAAAACTCTGTCCCTGATTTCCTCTGAGATATCTTAGAGCAAAACCTCAGGGCGAAGCAGAACCGCCCCTTGCCACTAGGAGGCACTGCGGAATTCCATCATATTCCAAGAACGGTACATTGGAAGTGTTCAGCCCGATTCCGCTTCTCAATCAGATTATTTCGAGCAGAGGTCGAAGTTCCGAGTACAGTTTCTGGCATCACTCCTGAGGACGGATCCAGAGAGCGAATGTACCCAAGTGGATCGAGGCCAGATACCTGCTTTCTGATGAGGAGATACAGCGAGGAAATTTCAGCGATAGCAGAGACCACGGTGCCGCCGCGCGGACGGCGCGGCGTTGCTTCACGAGGTTGAAACGGTTGCCTCCGGAATGGAGTTTCTCTCGTGAAGAGCACGATCGCACGCAAATAGACAAACGCGCTAGCTACTCTGGTCATGCTCCGGTCTTATTCTTGACGCTCCTGAGCAAAGTTCCTTCGATTTCCTCGAGAGGTCGCTTTCTTAATGATCTGTTGGGGCTTGTTCTAGAATAGTATCGTTCTGGCGAACGAGGGAATGACAAGATACAGAAGACTGTACCCCAGCTTCCGTGAGATTAGGCACCGATGAGCGACGAACCACAGACTGATATACCATTCCTTCGGGACTCCGATTGACACTAGCTTCCGCCGTGGCTCTCCTGTCCCCTGACATGCTTTCGATTCGACTGCGTGACTCCGGAGGGAACTTCTGTTTTTCCTCGCGACGTGGAGGGACGGATGGATGCATGCAATGTTCCATAGAAGCGCGTTCCCATGCAATGTTCCCTTCTTTGATCACCTACATTTTATGACAAATGGAAATATAGACCCTCATGTCAGTAGGAGACAAGATTTATTCGATTGAGGGCCCGACGACCTGAGGAAGAGATGAAGGCAAATCATTATTCCCGAATCTTTAGAGCGTAGCCAGCGGCTCTCCGCGACGGATTGAGACCGGAATTCAACACGCATTATAGTCAATCAAGATAGGTGCTGTGCATCTTTCCGTGGTGGAGAACTCCATCAAAGCGAACTCACATTCTCGGGGCATTATACTCTTCCAAACTTTGAAGGAATGATTCAAACCGCCGAGGCAGTGTATCTTGTAACGGCTACCGAGAGATCCATGAATCGGATCAGCGACACCGTAGAATGCCCGTCTTATCCTTGAATGCACCAAGGCCATGGCGCACATCGCGCAAGGCTCGCGCAGCATGTAGACGTCGTAACCTGGAGCGTCCAATGTCGAATTGAGCGACCATGAATCGAGCGGGAGATCGTGCAGAGAATCGCTGATCGAGAGAAGACACGGGAGCCGGAAGAGCTGCGTTCCCGTATAATTTCGAAGACGCCGGAATCGCTCTCGGATTACCTGTACATATGTAGGGGACCTCTTCGTCAAAAGGGACCTGAGCCTCCTCCTCCACCGCTCGTGTCGGGATACCTGTCTGCCAGGCTCCGCCTCCCTGGAGTCGAGCGACCAGATCCAATGCTACAAGAGTTGCATGAAGAGCAGGATGTTCATCCCTGCATGAGCTGGCCATCGCGAGAACGGTGTCCGTTGCGGGATTGACGATCGTCACAGCGTTGGAATCCTCCTGGAAATATTTTTTTCCTATAGAGACCAATGTCCTTTGATGAAGGGATGAAACGCAGGGGGAAGGACGGGAGAGACGGAGGCCGCCTCCCAGACGATGCCTCCGTATTGCGATGCCGGAGTAGCGAATCGCCATATTGGGTTTCAGCTTGATGCGGACCCCCAGCCGAGAAAAACCCCGCGTAGGCCGCTTCCGGTATGCGTCTACGGCCTGCAACGCTGGCGATCTTCGAGTGGAGGACCTGGTGCTCAGGTAGCCCGGGCAGAAGCTCCAATCCATTTAGGACGGATGGACACGATTAAAACGGTGCACTTACTTTATCGGCATCGTTGGAATGTATTATTGTCGCGCGCATGAGCTCATGTATTCTCTGGAGCTCCTGCACCTCGAAGAATGTGCCGTCTAGGCTTGACTCGATCTCTTTGTTTTCGTGGAAGTGAGTAGGCCAGAGTAGCGAGCTCTCTTGGTATTGGGTCCGAGTCAGGGGAGCGTTCAGAGCGACCTAGAAATGGGTTGATATGAGCGTGACTTCTTTGAACTTGCGATGAATACCAGATCTTGATTGATTGGCGCGCGAAATCCAGCTCGACATCCACCGCTACCTTGTGTTCTCTGATACGGTCTACATCTATTCCCTCGATCGAGGTTAGTTTCGCGAGATCATCTTTGTCTGTGCAGAGGATTATTTCCATTCCGGATTCGGTTCTTCGGACGCGCTTCAAATGAGGAAATTTCTGAGGAATTTAAGCTTCGAGATAATTATTCTTCCCGCAAAAGGGAGCAACCGAAGGATATCCGGCTCGATTTGGCGATTGATAGAAATATTGGGAGCTCGCTCCCAATACGCGACCAGGCTCATAGATCATCTTCGCTCATCTGCTTGCAGAGAAATCGCAAGCATGCATGTACCTGTAAGGGGGACTCATTGGTCAGGCGTTGGATGACACCCGATATGAGTTTTCTGTCCGTTATCGGAGACACGAAAACGGTTGCTTGTTCGACTCCGGCTTCGAAACAATCTGCCAGGACCGCCACAGGTGCCAACCGAGGTCGTTTTCTGTCCGAATCACCTCGCTCCGGAGACATTCTCGAGGCTCGTAGTCACTGTTGCGCCGCGCGGTCACAGATGAACATTCAGGCTATTCGAAGACTCAGAGCCAATATCATCGCAAAGCACTTCCCAGGCTAAACATCTCTCTTATACTTCAAGGAACGAAATGTTCGGAGTGGGTTTTTTTTTCAGCTCAGCTGGCGTCGTTCGACTGTGTACGAGCAGACGATTGGGGAAAGAGTACTGAGAAAGATTAGTGTTCTGAATGTCTGAACTGGCGCGCAGCGTCAGTTGAAGCCCGTATTCATACGTCCGAATCGAACGAGGCTGCAGGAAAATGTAGGCCGGATGACAAGTTGGGGCGAGAATGACAGTCAGACGGCACCGATCCGACTCTGATCCCAACAAGCAAGACTGATCCGGATCTCCATGTCTGCTCCCAAGCAAGAGACTTGCTGCGTGGTCGTCGAGGATTTGGGAACGATTGAAGTGATTCACGCATTCACGTAACGGGTGAAGCCTGTCTAATTTCTCCGAGCCAAGATTTTGAAGAGTACATTATATTTGCACTTCGTTCCGTGTATTTCTTCTCAGTTCGTGAGCGCCAGCGGTATGGCGATCTATCTCTTTGTGGTAGAAAAAGATGGCACTCATGCTCCCGCCACTGTTTGAGATATCAGAGATCGTCAGGAAAGGAGGGTCCCTTCTGTTGCCAAACCGTAACTCTTCCTCAAGCGAAGACGCGAGAGCATGTGTGTCGTGTCGAGCGCCACCATATAATGAGAGAGGGTAAAGGCGGCGCTCCTCTCTCTCACAACAACAGCATGTAGAAACTTCGCTTGAGTGACGAATTCAACAGCCGAATAAGATCTTTGACTTCATAATGATGTGGAGATATCCAGAAAATCTCGGAATGACCGAGGTTGACACCATAAGGTTTTCGATTTTGTCCTCCTTCACCATGGGTCCGAGCGTCTGCGGATACGTTACAGATGAGCACGAATCAATCGCGTTCCTTCGGGAGAGAGAGAACCTCTGGCAAAATGCGTTCATACTGAAGAGATTCAGCCCACCGGATCTACCGCAAAAGTCGCCGATCCAGCTGGTGGTGTGAATTTACTCGAGCGTTTCCGCGGCTTTCGCAGGTTTTGCGGGCTCGCAAACGCTTTGCATATGCGTGATGTTCGATGCTTGACCTGATTCGCTCAGAGGCGTTTTTAGTGTGAGCTTGTGCGTCGAGGGAGGGTGCTTAGTAGTCCTCGAGCGACGTCGCGATCCGACGGTCTTGGTACGAACTCTCAAAATTGCTCTGTGACTCTTCACCCTAGCTCATGCATGCTTCGAATTCGAGTCCCAGATCACATCGAAGCAGACCGGGCGCGCGTTAGGTTTTCTAGTGGTACTTCTCGGCCCGACATCTGACGATGAGGTGCAAGATTCGACGTTCGATTTTCGAAAGCTGTACAGATTGTGAGAGCTGGCCTCGTGCTTGATGATTCCCAATTTCACTGAGGCCACGCGAATCAGCTGGGAGGCGCCCCCGAATCGGAGAGCGATCAAGGGAGGGCCCCTTTGGTTTTTTTCCCGAACGATGCGCCGAGTTTTTCCCTTGTATGCGTTCGCTCTGGGGATGTGTGGCCCTTCTTGAAGGGCCACACCGGCTCGCGGGCACAATGGAAAAATGACAGCGATATGAAATGCAGGGACGCTCTCCTCAGATGAGGTTCCGAGGATCAAAAGCTGCGATCGAACGTTCCAAGAGCTCCTTATGGAAGGACTGCATGACAATACGAAATCGTTACCGCCGCGCAACAGGTGTCAGGTGGTGGACTCGTAGATTTTCTCTAGGCGAACGCGAGGAGCAATCAATGATTGTTCGACGCCCCGAGATTGGGGAGATCCAGCTCGGGTTCCGGCTTCGTACATATAGGCTATACAGGCTTCGAGCCCCGCCGCGGACGGAGTTGGTACGCGGCAGGCGTAATATAGATATAGGCTGTAAGAATGTCACCCCGTATATTCGCAGAGCGTCATCCAAAGCTCAGGAGAGCCATGGATTCCGAGTCTGAATCCCCGGAGGAAGTACGGGAGTCGTTCCCGCTCACTCATAAGTTCCCGCTGGAAGCTGTGGTGTCAGTGGAATGGTATTCACTTGCCCAGCTGGAGTACCTCGCAGACAAGATAAGGAAATCCCAGCGTGAGTATCACTGCACAAGAAATCATTTGAACCGTTCGGGAGTGAGCTCCAAGGGACCTCGGACAGGTGGAAAGTAATCTCCTCGAATTACAGCCGTCGAAAACTTGCTCCTTCCGATTCCGAAAACACTCACGGTGAGTTTAGTTTTCATCTCTGAGGCTCTAGTAAAAGTATTGTACACTACAATCGGCTTGTAAAGCCCACCGACTGCAATCGCAGGACCCTCCGGAACGGGCGACCTCATCCAAAGACATGGGTTGGAGGAAGAAAGTTTCCCTGAGGATTTCATCCCCCAGATCGGCGAAAGCATCCATGGACTCTTTTGTAGACGAAGGTGCGTTTGCAATCTTATCCATGATATCGGTCGCATTCACCTTCGTCCCCGGGAGGGAGGAACAAATCCTCTTCTGGGTTCGATTTTTGCATGGTATATGTTGGTACTTCATGCACGGGACTCGGGGAAATACCCAGGACATCCCGTTCGCGATGTGAACTCTTGAAGTGGCCACTCTTCTAACACCATCTCTTATTTCCCCGTCGCAGACCTGAGTATGCCGCTCACAATAGTGAGTTCAATTCGGGATAATAGTCGCGCAAGGTATCATATGGCAGACTCTGTTCTTGCTCTCGACCCAGGATTGGACTCTCACCTGTCTCTCTTTTCCACAGGCGTCGCCACCGTCAACCTACAACAGTCCGGTGAAGGCTCCAGTCGAGTCGAAAGGCGGGTACCCACCCGGGATATCGCAGTCAGAGATAATGATTCCGGGACGATGTCTCATCATTTTCGAAATCCAGTCGATTCGGTTAGATTTGTTTCGTTCCTCAAATTTCGAGGAATTCATTGCAGAAGATCCAGTGACGATAACTGTGAACAATATGGTGGACATGATCGCTAGTCCGAAGAAAAACTTGTTTCATGAGAAGGCTTCGCTCGGAAGCACTTGTCACGGAGACGCGAGCGGGGGTGATGGAACGGCGACACAGACCGAAGCTAAGAAAATTGTGAAAGAAGCTCGCTCTCGTGACCCGAATGTCGATTCCAGGAGAAATATGCTCACCACGAATTCAAGCGAGGTCAGAATTATTCGCAGGCTTCTCGGTTACTTCTTGGCCTGGTAGAGTTTTCCGAAGAACCGACCAGCAAGATCGACGATCAGAGATAGATTCCGCGACTCCTCTTGACAATCTCGAATCACTGAACTAGGAACTGCAGCTATGTCTTCCTTTCGCAGCGATCGGGAGCTCCTAGACCAGAAGGAACGTCGACACTTCGATATCATCTCTTCGAGGGAGAAGCCTACAGAAATATCCACGATGACGATCAGTAAGTTCGTGATTTATGCCCGGAACTCTGCGTAATTTCGAGGGAAACGTCGTCGGCCACGATCCGATTACGAACAGCCCGATCCGCGGATATTGAGGACCTCTTCCTGTAGGTTTGTAGGAGCCAAGCGACCCCAGCGATACCATCGCAAAATGGTGCCCTCCGTCCCACAGGCAGCCGTTTTACTTCACGAGCCGGACATCGAGAAAGATCCTCCTTGGTTGCAAGCGGGGATCCGTGAAAAACTCGCACAGTTTGTCGTAGTTGTCTCGTCTAAATCTGGCTTTGATGGCCCTCATGGGTGAGATTCATGTTGAGGCTACGGTCACGTACTCTGCCTTAACAGCCTACGCAATTAAATGGGAAAGAGCCTGTCCTGATTGATTTCTTTGTTCGTTCTTAAAAAATTTTGTTTCAACTTCAAGGTCACAGCTCCAAGATATGAAGCTTGAGAGAGTAGATCCGAGCACAATTGCAGAAATTCTCATGAAAGTCAGAGTTGCAAGGCCAGTGCAATCCAATCCTCTCGGCACTTCTGAACCCATCGTTGACCCAGCCGAGAGGGCCGCTCCGACGCGGGAAAACATCAAGGAGGGAGAGTTGGAGGTGAAAACTCCCCGCTATATGTGGCTTTCATTGACTGTTCTGTGGGACGATGCAACTTTGAGATTTTCAGAATGAGTCTCTGTAGAGGAATACTTTGATGAGGATTTCGGATTCCTAACCCATTGTTCGCCTCTAGGAGATCTCAGAAGCGGAATCGCGACTTAGGAGAGAACTATTCGATCTGCTCTACGATACACCGCACAAGGGCCTATCATTGGATGATCTCTTCGATGATGCCCATCAAACTATCCTCATGGAATTATCCAATGAGGTTCACCTGACAAACGAGAAATTACGTCTTTTATCGTCGAAGCGGAGCTTGAGCCGCAAGTTGACAGAGGTAATGTAACATTCACTAATTCCCGCACACTTAGCTCCTCGAAACTCGATCCAGGACTCCGGGAGAGCACGGACCCGGGTGGACTCGCTCTAGCTCATGTTATTATTCTTGCAGATTTTGAAAAAAACAAAACAGCAGCAGCGGAAGCGTTCGAGAACATACGCACGGCCGCCTCAGAAGAAGCAGAGGGTGAGCGATTCGAGAGTTGAATCGCCCTCGGTCCAGGGTCGATCTTTGGTCGTGGTGCCGGAGGATGTCTCAAGCCTTAAGGGGACAGTGCCTGTTCACGATTCGTCAGTACCGCCTGCAGCCCTCTATCGAGTAGCTCAGGGTAAAATGAGCAGCTGTGCGGGTCGCCCTCCCAATGCTATTTCGCTGTCTAATTATGGAGCGACCCAGAACCCTGCGGTTCTTCATACTTTTGCCGATAGGGGACAAAACCGTCAGAATTCGCCTCGAGGTCACATGAGACCGGCGGGGCCTCACGCCCAGAATCGCGTGTCGAGTCCGACGACTTTCGTGAGTCTGCCGCCACCGAACAGAGCTATCAATGTTTCATTCATCCCAACGTCGACTCCTACAACGAGTTCGGATCGTCTTCCCCCAATATCGCCCCACATGACTACTCTGCCACCTAACGTCGCATTGCCCGCGAATTTGATCCCACAAATCAATGCGGTACCCATGGATCTCGATGCATCCCTGAGAGCCCCCACGAGACTCGTCAGAGTCGAAGTCTCGCCTAGTCCAAGAAATCCCGTGCCAGGGAACTTGACAGCGGTCTACGACCCGCCGACATATTCCTGGAACAGCTCGGAGCGAGGGGGACCGAGATTCGCTGCGCCGAGTTCGAGTCCAGCGTACCGACAACTCATTCATATTCCGACCTCTGGGCTCGGCATCAATAGACCGACGTTGATTTCTCGAATGCCCAGCGCAAGGGTTGTTATGGTGACTCCTGAACAACTTTCAGCTGTAAGTATAAACGAGCCGATTTTGGAGAACACTGGGGTGTCTGTCCCATGTTTTCGAAGAATCTAATCTATCTTTCGGATAAAGTTACAGTCGCAAGCGCACCTCGAGGGACAGGTCCGTATGCAGCAGGTCCGGGAACATTGCCCCGCTACTGTTGTGCACTTAACAAGACCACCCGACGATTTTCCCGCAGCGACCGCAGTAAATGCGAAGGGTGTCAAACCGGTCCCTCCGGCTCCCACGAATCAACAAGTCTTGAGCTTCCACAGGAACGATCAGGCTGTTTTCTTGACACCGAGCATGAATTTCCAAATTATAAGACCTGCCACAACAAGCGCACCGAGTTTTTTCACTGTGAGACAACCTTATATCGCGAGACCGCCTTGAGCTCGATCTAACTCGTCGAGTAGTTTCATCCGATGAAGATTTTCCATTGAAGGCGGGAAGGATCGATACCGCGAGAGCCATCCGGCGCCGCCCCATGATCGCATAAACGCATTGTTCAGTCAAGATGAGCGTTTCCGATGATTTCAGCGGTGTTCGAATCATGGTGCTCGATAGTCTATTTTTCAAGAGACGGCATCTACAAAACTCCGCAATAGGACCTCGCCTTTTATCTGCAGAGAAGCGATGAATAAATCCTACCAGATTATGCAAGCATCAATAAATTGTCCGAGAGTTGTCATTTATGTGCAGGTAAACGCACTCATCTCTTCGACATGTTTCGAAACAGGATTGCTCGTCTCCTACGGGCAGTAGCGTTTGCATGATTTTTTTTTCGGGGGGGGGGGGG